TGGTGGCGCCAGTGTAGGGCAGCCTCGCTTCTGTCAGTGAACCCCAGGGCAGCTGTGGCTACAATGTCATTTACCAACCTCCAAAAAGCAAATACTTGTGAGTTAGGAAACATATCTGTAAAGTTAAGCTGTTTCAAATGTGTTGTTCATGTCTCCTGCATGAACATATATATTTTTTTCATCATCTACTCTCCATCTGTTAGTGACAGACAGGGGAAGGAGGTCATCACCCGCCTGGACACCAGTATTAAAACCTCAGAGTTTTTCTACACTGATTCCAACGGCAGAGAAGTCCTACAGAGAAAGTAAGGAGAGATCAAAATCTTTTGGAACAACTAGTGAGGAAAAGCTAAAACGGTAGTTCTGTTGTTTTATTCTGATTTTGTTTCCAACAGGAAAGACTTCCGTCCTACATGGCAGCTGAAGCAGACTGAGCCCATAGCTGGAAATTATTACCCCATCAACTCTCGTGCCTTTATTAAGGTCCTATTTTTTTTTTTCTTCTTTTTCCCAATAGTTTTGTCGTTTTTTTTTTTTTTTTGTATTAAATGTTCTGCATTTCTACTAAAAGTTTGCTATATGTGTATTTTTAGGATGACGTGAACCAACTCACAGTGGTGACGGATCGGTCACAGGGAGGAGGGAGCATAAACAATGGATCTCTGGAGATTATGGTAAGACATTTGCATTTTATTCCTTGGAAAATATGAAAAGGGTTATTTTTGTTGAAAACAAACTATAGAGATGAGCGCGACAGATGAGGTGTCAAAGTGTTTTATTTTTATTTTTTTCTATTATCACACATCTAGGTGTATCTAAAACACACCTTTTATTGGTCTAAACCCTGAATATATGCTGCCGCCACTCTCAGTAAAACCCAATTTTTAACATGGAAGTGATTAATAAACTTTACCAGTTTAATTGCTTCATATTTTTATTTTAGATATTTTCTGTAGTCATACTTTAGATTTGGTTAGTAGCCCGAGTTCAGAGAAGCTTTCTGTGCATTTATTTTTTACTCTATTTGCTTAAATATTATAAAGGAAACTGCCTGGAAAATTAACAATGGTCTACTGCAAAATTAATGTAGATGACTTTTTGCTGCAGTGAATATCTATATATATATATATTTTTTTTATCTTATAATAAATATTTTTTTTTAAACTTTTTTACAATCTTGACTTACAATTCTATCCAGCCTTGTTGTATCAGTGTTGGAATAAATCTCTTCCTCCTCCTCACATATATTTGATCTGACAAAAAGAAATGCCATATTTCATGAAAAAACTAACCTCTCTCTCCAGCTCCACCGCCGGCTGCTGTACGACGATTACCGCGGGGTTGGTGAAGCTCTCGATGAGAGCTCTGAAATATATCCACACGGACTGATGGTTCGTGGTCGCCTTCTCCTCTCCCTGGAGCCTCCTGCCAGCGCTGCAGACATTCACCGTCCCCTGGCCCAGGAGGTGGTATCACAGCCGCTGCTGTCATTTACTGACGGAGGCCTGAGCCCAAGCTCTCGACTGGAGGTAAACAGGCGGCGCAGGGCTATTTATTCTAAACTGATCTCAGCGTCTCTCTTTGCTGTTGCCTCTATTACACATTTATCCAATCTTCATATTGTGTATACAGATTCCAACAGATGAGGTGTTAGCTGTTCAGTTCAATACTGAATGAACCAAATTGTTTAAAATGACATAAAAATTTGATTAGAAATTTCTACTGTCAGTTTTCAGGTCTTCAGGCTTCACTCCCCCCGGCTGTCCATCTGCTGACTCTGAGCCAATGGGATGAGGACTCGGTCCTGCTGAGGCTGGAGCATCAGTTCCAGAGCTGGGAGAGCAAAGTGAACTCTCAACCCGTCACAGTCAACCTTCAGGTCAGATTTAATAAAAAAAACATGAAAAACCTTCTGAAAATATCTTACTACTCATTTCTGAAGTATTTTATTTTGTTAAAATTAATTTTGAAAATGGTGAGATGGTAGTAATTTTCATAAGTAGCTGGTTTAGTGAAAAAAAAAATCTGAATGTATCTTTATTTACATTTTTATTGCTGGTTCTTTTTTTGTGCAGAAGCTGTTCTCTAGTCTGGATGTTCTGGGTTTTTCTGAGCTGAACCTTTCAGCCAATCAGTGGAAAGATCAGATGAGCCGCTTCGATTGGACTCCTGAGAAAGGTACAGGACACTCACACCTAGTGTGGGCTAGGCTGGGAGTATGTTGGCACGATATTGAAGCCCCTTTCCGTTGGCTCTTCCTTTTGGTTTTATGCCACTTTGTTTTAAAGGGCTTTATAAATAAAGTTGAGCTGAGGTAGTGGAGCAATTGAAAATCCATGGAGTTTACTGCACACTTAAGAAACTATGGGGGGAAAAAACCTACAAATGTGTTATAAACTGCAGTGGCCTTTGTGAGTCGAGCTCGAACATTGGTTCAAAGGTCATATTACAATCTTAAGGTGTCTAATAAGGTTTATGAAAGAAAAAATTAATTTAACCATTTATAAAATAATTTACCGTACCTGTTTTGAAAAAAAAGAAGAACACATGAAAAAAGATGCACCTGATGAGCTTATTTGTTGAACATACATGAGTTAATCACTCACAAAATCAGGTGTTCAGACGTAACAAAGCCAGACAAAGCCACCATGAAACGGCTCATAAAATAATCCATATTAAAAAAAGAAAGCATCTCTGGAGACTCGATAGGTTCAGAGTGGAGGAAGAAAGAAAAAGGGGTGTTTGTAAATATACGTAGCCAGGTTTTCTACAGCTTGCATCATCAAACTTATCTTTTAATTAATCAGTGAAAGAGATTGAAACTATAATTAATCTTTAAACCATCCAGTCAGTTTCCTAGACTTCACTTGCTGATAATTATGGGCAGTTTTAGCGTAGTTTGGTGTGAAATGCTACTTTCAATAAGCTAACATCACATATCGGTACCGAACTAAGGTTGGATATTTTTAGTTAATACCAGTTCCTTTCTGTAGAAAAATGTTTAACGAGTTTTGCATTAGAAATATTGGAATTTAATAGCTGACCTAGAGCTGTCATGCAGTTTGAAGCTTACTGTATATTTTAAGAAAACAAACTATGTGAAACAAAGTAGTTCTGGCTTAATTTAAATTGTCCTAATGTCACATTTGAAAAGGTGCACTGCAGAAACCTATTCAAATTTCGTCTGTTTCGTCTTCATAATTTACTCTCCAAACTAGATTTTGTCACAAAAAGTTTTCAGCAGTATTAAATAATTCTGTATTTATAAAGCACAAGACTGTCACAACAATCGGCTGTGCTATTTTAATTCTTCAATGCTGAGAACTGCTGCCTCATTACAATCAGTACTGCGCAGAAAAATTCCCTGCTAAAAATCATGAAGCAGATTTTCGTATTTACTACTTCAATATGTGCATTTATTTTTTTATATATATATATATAAAAAATATATATTTTCTCCGAACAGTCATTTGTTTGTTTTTTAACCAAGCTGCATCTGTTTTCACAGAAGAGAAGCCACTGCTGAAGACATTTGCGAATCCTTCTGTATGGGAGGTCACCCTGAGGCCCATGGAGATCCGAACCTTCTTGCTCAGGGTCAAGTCTAAGTAACTGATCATGTGCATCAACCTGAGTTAAAATTCCATCTGCCTTTGTCTCAAACAGGGGGCTCCTTAAATACCACTAAATTTACAAAAAAGGGAGTTTTCTTAGTAAATAAGTTGCCTTCATACATCTTGTTTTACTTTTTCACCAGTTACAGTAACTTGCAAAAAAATCATTGCCACTCTTATTGATCACATTGTTTTTCATAGATCAGCTGCCTCACATAGACGTATATCAAAGTCTGAATAAAAAAAAGAAATCTGGACCATACTATTGGTTCACTCACATCTGTAAATCTGTAAACAGCAGAGCTTTTTATTAAAGCTCGATGTAGCCCTATGAGCCACAGAAAAACAATTCCCAGAGATACAAGCCATGGTGCCTTTCATTAAAGCTGCTCCTCGCCATCATTAGTCAAGTTTTCGTATTTTGGCAGCAAATTCTTATCAGAATAACATTTCGTGAAACTGCTGTTATCCTCCTTTCAGAAGACCAATTTGCACAAATTTAGCTTGGTCGATTTGCAGGATGCAGAAAGAAAGGATATTGGATGTTTTAAGGGAACTCGAATATAGAGATTAGACTGTTTATTCAAATGGTCTTAAGTATTTTAATAGAGAAAGGCAACAAGTCAAATTAAGATAAATTGGTAACCTAAAGCAATCTTTCTGTAATAGAGGGTTTGTCCTTCTACTGCCACCTTGTGGTAGCAACAATACTTTGCCATTCCAGTATCTCCACTATGAATGACACTGATCATCACTAGTACTGACAAATATAGCCTGATAAATGTATGTCTAAAAGAACCTATAAACATTTTTGAAACTTTCCAACTGAATGTCTTTCCATGAGATGTGGATCAGGTGAACCACTTCAACCTTTTGTATTTAGAACAGCAAATAATGCATAAACGCTGAAAGTCTGGAGGGAAAAAATGTTACAGGGTTGCTAAAACATTTCCTGATGCACGTTGCTTGAATTTTCTGTTGATCTTTTTAGAAAACATATTTCACAAAATAACTGCAGACATTGACTTGTAATTCTGTAAGGTGCTATCATTGTTTTTGTTTTTATCACCTGATGTAGCTAAAATCACCTCTTACACATTCATACCAGATTTTTCTTCACTGGAATATTCTGGCACTATGAACAGACCCTTTAATGAAAACAGATTAAAAAAAATGCACAGTTTATTAACTTTAAACCAGAGCAATTAATAGAATCCTGTCTGGTTTTAACCACAGATCAGTGTAAAGCGCAAAACCTGTGAAATTATCCTCAGCCAATGATCTGAACTAAAACTTCAGTAGTGCTGAAGAATAGGGGATAAAAAGAGAAATAAAATCTATTCTTGGTTACATGAAGTTTCTAGAAAATATTTTCCCCAGTCAGTGTTTTTTTTTCCTGAATTATCTAGACCTGGGAAATAAAATACTTCAGAGACCTGCCAGAACACATTTTACACATCCCTGTTATTTCACCATAGGACAGCTGATGTGATACCATGTTTAAATCAATATTCTTTCATTTCTTCAACATTGTAAAATGTATGGACCATCTGCAAATGTGTAAACCATTTCTAGAAGCAGGGACAGAATGTTTCTGTCTGTGGATCAAATCCTCTTTTTAATTTTTACCAGCTGCCAAATTGTCCTGATGAAACCGATGTGCAATAAATTGTTTTCTTTTCTACTGTATGTATGTGCATTTAACTTTTCAAAAAGAATCTTATAAAAGTAATTTACACCTCCTTATTGTTGCCTCCCATAACGTAATATGCTGCTGCTGTGGTGACTGTTCTAATCACCAAAATTTGTCTGTGTTTTGATGAAATGTTGATAAAAAGCTGAAGATTTGCTGGCTTTTTTCTGTGTGCAATTGTGAAATGAAATGATTACAAAAGTGTTTACAGGAAAGTTCACTGAATAACTTTAATACATCCAGAAAATTGATCTTTAAGTGAGGCCTGTTACATTTGGACATATGCAGCAGGTTCTTGTAATTTATTTCAACTTAAAAAAAAAATTTGGCATAACCAGAAATTTCCATTCAGTTTAGACGTCCAAAACAATCTAACCTCCAGAGTATCCAGACTCCACTAGAGCTTTTAAACTTAAAATGATTAAACTTGAAACTAAAATAAGTAGTCATTCAGCTTTCTCATCACTTTTCTTCTCCTCATCGTGGGAATAGGAGCAGCTGTCTCCATGTGTGCATGTTCCCTAAAGAAGAACACAAACAGGATCAGAACAAATGGTACATTTATGACCCGTAAGGTACCTTCTAAATGCTACAGCTGAATGACTTTAGTCATTCTGCCACTGAGGCAGATTCCTTATGATGATCTAACCTGTTTGAACTTCTTGCAGGGGAAATTCTTCAGCTGTGACGAGTCTGTGATCTGGTTCTTTCTTTTGTTCTGGAACTTCTTCCTTTTATCCTGCAGATTAGTATTGATACCACCCCTGGAAGAGAGGTTAAAAAGTTAGCAAGAAGCTTAGGAGGGTGGAATGAAATTAACGGGATTACTACTAAGGCCATCTTTCAGATTGTTCCTTTGTTCCACCATCTAAACAATCTTTATGTGTCAATTAGAAATAAAAAGGTTTTGAAACAGATCTACAGCCCTGAGGATCATAAAAGAGCACAGTTTCCAAAGCTGTATAAACCCTAGGTGAGTACTGCAGTTACAACCTTTGATTCCACTGTCTGATCCCAGCACCTAGATCAAAACACACACAGCCTGTGATCTTGGCAGACTGACACATGAGGTGGAAATACTAAATTATCTTGCTCTGAAGGTTTACTAGTACTTCATAGAGTATCTAAAGACAAAATGGGAGGCAGCACCCTTAGTATCAGGGTCCTCTCCTGATGCTTTAGGC